TTGGAGCGGACAAGGGCCCAGCTTGCAGAGCAGATCCAAAAGAACTTTCTTTTGGACTGCAAGTTTAAGACCGAGGGGAAGATGGCCAAAGAAAAGGCCTTGGAGCTCACTAATGCTCTTCAGGAGAAAGACCAGCAACTCCAAGAAGAGGTTGGAGCACATAAGCACCTTCGTGACCTGTATACTACTGTAATACAGGAAAATGTGCAGCTAAGACAAAAGCTGGCCAACTCCAGTCAAGTCACAGAAAAGTCTGATGAAAACAACTTGGAGTTGCAAAAACTTAGTGCTGCTCTCCAGAAGAAGGCAAAGGAACTACAAGATCTAGAGGACACACATAAGAAGATCCGCGTCCTGTATAATGTTAAAACACAGGAGCATGTGCAACTCAGGCAAGAGTTCGCCAACTTCAAAAAAGCCAGGGAAAAAAACTATGAAAAAGAGTTGAAAGAGCTCAAATCTAACCTCCTGACAAAAGAGAAAGAGCTGGAAAATGAAGTTAGTGCATACAAAGAATTAAGATATTTGTATAATAAGTCAGTGGCAGACAAAGTAGAGCTCAAACAGGAGCTGGCCAACACCAGAAGAGTCAACGAGAAGTTGAAAGAACAACTTAAAGAACTTACAGTAGCGACTCAAAACACTTGTAAAGATGTTGGTGGAGATCAAACCAACAATGAAAATGAAAAACTGTCCAGGAGGGTGCAGGAGCTGACTTCTGAACTTTTTTCAAAGCAAGAGGAGCTGCGTCTCCTGAAGCTCCATCGTGATCGTGAAAGAGGACAGGGATTCAGCCGCCCAAAAGGAGCGGCCGTAGTGGAGCAGCAGTGGAGGAGGCTCAGGCGGGAACAGCGCTAGAGCACCTCCAAACACTTGACATGCATGAATAAAAATAATGACCAAAAATATTTAAATGTGCTTTTGCCTTTATTTAGTACTTATTCATGTTTTATTGTTTTGTTTTTCACATTGTTTAATTCACATGCCAGTCATATGGCATACTGCAGTGGCTTGTTTTTTATGCAGAAATTGGGAAAGTGAATGTACCAAAAATAATATAATACATCAGGGGTTTTCAGAGTGAATGCCTCCCCTTAGAGTAGGTAAAAACACCTGAGCCCACTATGCCAGGACTAAACCAGGACTAAACCAGGTCTAAACCAGGTCTAAACCAGGTCTAAACCAAGACAAAACAGGACTAAACCAGGACTAAACCAGGACTAATCTTGGATTTGAGAGAGAGAGCGGGAGAACCCCAAGCAAGAGGTCTGTGCGGGACTGAGACTGGGACCAGACGACTGAGACCGGGACTGAGACCGGGACCAGACTGAGACTGAGACTGGGATCAGACCAGGACTGAGACCAGCTTAGTCCTGGTTTAGACCTGGTTCAGTTCTGGTTTAGACTTGGTTTAGTCCTGGTTCAGTCCTGGTTCAATCCGGCATCGCAGTTTAAGTCACTGAAATGGGAAACTGTTTACCGTTATCTGTTTTTTACATTATTCATTTAAAAAGAAAATCGAAAACTGAAAAAAACAAATCTTTATCTGTTTTTTTCATTTTGGTTTAGGAGACAAATAATGAAGAAAATAGTTATTTTTTTTTAATTTTCTTATATTTGGTTTTATTTTGAAAAACGAATGAACGAATGATATATGGATTTATGGCTTTAAACATATCATACTGGCCAACTCTGTGGAGAGGCACTTCCAGTAAGAAAGCAAAATATAGCCGCAAGCAGCAATGATCGGCCCTTGCGCGCGCCTACATCTCGTCCTGCAAACGCCGCACCTCACAAACGCCGCACCCCCACAAACGCCGCAACCCACAAACAGAGTTTTCAGAGTGAATGCTTCCCCTTAGAGTAGGTAAAAACACCTGAGCTTGGTTCACTTCTGGTTTAGTCCTGGTTTAGTCCTGTTTCAGTCTGGTTTTAGTCCTTGTTCAGTGCTGGTTTTGTCCTCCTGGTTCAGTCCTGGGCTCAGTCCTAGTTTAGTCCTGTTTTAGTCCTAGTTCAGTCCTGTTTTAGTCCTAGTTGTCAACTAAAACCTTATTTTTACCAGATGGCAAAATTTCCAGGACTTTTCGTCATGGCTCGCCAGCCTCTGACGCTCGGGCCTATATAGACCAATGACAGACCCGCCGAACCATAAAAGTTGCATAGTGTAGTTTTGAAAATTATGACTTTTATTCAAGTATTCTTGGGTTTCAGCTTCCAGTTCGAAGACGGCTGACCATTTAAAAGATATATTTTGTTTTGAATTGTTAATCGCTATGGCAGCAATCCTAACTTTTCTTCAGTCTGAAATACAAGACTAGGGAAAACGAACTCTTGGCAAGCCTGTCCAGAGTCTGTCCAGAGTCTGTCCAGCCTATAGTGCTGTGCAGTTTTTCTCTTAGGTGCTTTCAACATTTTTTAAAAACATGACAAGTTTGCTGTGAAGTTAGTTGACGAAAAACAAGTCTAAAGATGTTGAGTAGAAGCCTGGTGATATTGCGTTGTTTACAGAATCTGGAGCCTTGTATATGAGTTGCAGTATGTTCAGAACGAGATGCAGTTTGAGACCATCTGCCTGGGCTGAACTGGGCCATACACACTGTACTCAGCCTACAGAGAGCGGCTTCAGCGCAGGACACATGGAGTTTAGTGTGAATAAACAACATACTGTTCATCACATACATCTCTCATAGTGTTGTCACAATACCAACATTTCAAACGCAATTTTGATACTAAGGAATAGAGTGTAATTTTTAACATTAAATCATAGCACTTGCCTTTATATCACCATGTTGACTCGCTGTATTTCTGTGTAATCCCTGAGTGGTCCATGGTCTGATACAGCTCAAGATCATTCTAAAACTATTCTGGAAAGCTTCATTTTTGTCCTATGAATGTGACTTTTTTAGTATCAACACTTTTTCAAATGTAGTTTTAATTGATTAGTATTTGATTTTCTTTACTTTAGACCATTGTTTCCCAAAGACTGGACTCAAATCAGACTTGAGTCACTATTTTTAGGACTTGAGACTTGACTTGATAAAATGGACTAAGACTTGAATTCGACTTGAAGGTTAATGACTTGGGATTTGACTCGGACTTGAGGCCTGTGACCTGAGAAACACTTTTAATCAGATTTTTTCTATTCATATAGGCCATAATTCACACAAAGATCTTGTCAAGACGTTTAAAAAGGAAAAAATTACTAACCTGGAACCCCGGACAATTACTAGCCTGGAATACCTCCCATTCCGGGCATGTCCCACCAGGAGGAGGCCCCGGGGAAGACCCAGGACACGCTGGAGGGACTATGTCTCTTGGCTGGCCTGGGAACGCCTCGGGGTTCCCCCGGAGGAGCTGGAGGACGTGTCTGGGGTGAAGGAAGTCTGGGAGTCCCTGCTTAGACTGCTGCCCCCGAGACCCGACCCCGGATAAGCGGAAAAAAATGGATGGATGGATGGATGGAAAATTTACAAAATTAATTTCTACAACTCTTATATACTCTATAAATACTCATATATAAATATACTGTGAGTTTTTTAAGTACAGTTTAACTTAAAATTCATATAAACTGCAAAAATCTAAGCTGTATTTGGTGCTTTGGTTTAAAGACTTGAAATGACTTGAAGCTCAAAGCAGACGACTTGGACTTGGATTTATGGGCCAGTAACTCGAGACTCGACTTTGACTTGCCTGTATTTGACTTGGGACTTGACTCGGACTTGAGGTCGAAGACTTGAGACTTGCAGAACAACGACTTGGTCCCACCTCTGACATGTAGATCTGCACTATATTATATACAAATAGGCGACTTATGGATCCTTTTATTACTGGTTCAGTGACTGTTTTTCATTGTTTAAAACTTGAGTAATACTAATTATTCAGAGACACGATCACTCAGCCAACAGTAAAATATCCTCATTAAAGTTCAATAATGCTCAAATCCACCTTTATTTTGTGATTTACGAAAAATGTCTATGGACTTGGATCGTGAAGGTTTGTGACTTTAGAAATGGGTCCCCAGAAAAAAAGTTAGGGAAACACTGGTTTAAAGTATCTGATGTTTGGCCAGGGCTGCACATTCAATCAAAATCGTAGTTTGAGTTGACGTAATTATCAAATTGCAAAGACTACACATGTTTGGATAATAGGATATCCTCTGCAGTGAACAAAACATTTATTTAGGTTAGGTTAGGTTACTTTATTTGTACCCGTAGGTAAATTTGTTTTGCAGATTTGAAAGGCAGGTCCCACATTTCACATTTGATTCATCCACATTATGTACAATAAACACGAACAAAAACACAATCACAAAATAAAGTGTTACAGTGCATCCATCACGCTTGGCTAAAATCACAATAAATATTAAATATATATATTAAAAAAAATACATGTTTTCAAAACAATTTACAAAATATATATATAAAAAAAATGTTATGCACTTACTAAAGGGAAGTCCCCAGAAACTCCCTTCTCTTTACAGGAGGGGCCCCAGACACAAAAAATACATAGACACCAGTTACAATTTCATATTATCCATACCTAACACCATAATTTCTTTTTATAGATGACTATTATGCCTGTAATTTAAACCTCTACAAACATGTTCTGAAAGGCATGGGGTTCTTGTATTTTTTTGTTTTTTTTATATTTTAGTTCAGTAGAGATTGTGAATTCCAGGGCTGACATTATCCAAATGATTTTATTGAAGCTGTATGGAGTTTAAAAACACAGTGGAGCACTTCCTGTATTATCACATAACATCACAAGTCAATTTTATAGTTAGAAATCTGCAGGGTTTGTGTGTTAAACATGTGTAAATGAAACCAAACACAACTCCAAGTATGTTTGTGATGAGGAAATTTAATGTTCCTGGAGTTGTTTACAAAGAATTCTACTTTTTAATAATCTCGCGCAAAGACATTTTATCATATTTTCATGGTTATTTTCATTATTATAACATGTTCAAGCCTCACAGTGTTGGCCTCCTCCTTGTGTTTCAGTGGATGATCCAGAAGCCTCATAAAGTGGCCACGTTCTTCGGCTGCATCGGGACGGATCAGTTCGGGCAGATCCTGAAGCAGAAGGCGGAGGAGGCTCACGTCGACGCCCACTACTACGAACAGAGCGAAGAGCCCACTGGAACCTGCGCCGCCTGCATCACCGGGGACAACAGGTGTGGAGATGTTTACTTTATACTGTCGTTTACTGCAGATCTTGCGAAGGATCCACAATGCACACTTCTTCAATGCTTTATGAAGATGTGAGTCTGGTCACAGGTGAATCTCCCCAAGTTTAGATCAAGGGCGTAGGTTTGCAGTGGGGACATGTCACAACCAATATTTGGGGAAGACAAAATAGTCCCTACCAGGGATGTGCATTGCCTTGAGTCTGACGATACAATACATATCATAATAAGCATGTCACGATTCGATATATCCCAAAATATCCCAATACTAAAACATAGGACGATATATTGCGTTTTATCAATAATTCTTTCTGTTAATACAGTCGACTGCACCTTCACGAGAACACACTTGTATGGAATATAATTTATAGAAATGTTTAAATCATCAGAACAGTGAATGTAAATAATGAATTTTTATGAAAAATATTATTTAAAAGATTGATTTGGGTGCATTTTGAATCGATTCGAGACTTGTGCAATGAAGTATCACGATATATCACTGAATCGATTTTTTCTTACACCCCTATTCCCTACCAATATTTGACATTTTATTTTAATAAACAAAAATATATGTTTATTCCGATATTTTTCCAAACTCAGTAGTATTAATTTAACACGTTTTAGTTCACATTTTGTCTATTAGACGTTCTGAGATTTATTCAGTGACATGACGACAGGGTGCTGCTACTTCATTGGCTGCAACAGAGTGATGTCATTAGTGGAGCCAGGAGCCTAAACTGGGGAAGCGGCAGGACAGGACCGCACCTGAAGATGTCGGCTTGAACAGGCACGAGTGAAGACGCTGCACCGAACTATGAAAAACTTTTCAAAATGAACTTACTTGTCTTCATCTTCAATTAAACTTGTCTTATAATGAGTCGGGGTGTCCAAAAATATCAAAATATCGACGTATCATATCGCTTAATGAGATAATATAGTATCGATATCGTGGGCTGCTGTATCGATATAAAACCAAGAGTATTTTTTTGGGTATATTTTACTAAATTATTTTGTTACAGCTACAGTTTTGTTGGTTTTTTAGAGGAACGAAACTAGTTTATGCGAAACAGTTGGCATTTTCGTTGTTTTGACGTTTAAAATGGGTGTGTTTTATAGGAACATGGCACAAGAAGTGGTTTAACAAGCCATTATTTTTATTGAACTGTATCGACTTGATTTGAAATATATCATATCGAATTGAAAGTGCACTGTATCGAGGTATGTATCGTATCGTGACCTATGTATCGAGGTATGTATCGTATCTGCAACTTCTTAATGATACCCAGCCCTAATAATGAGTCGCTGTGGAAAAAGAGCGACTATCTCCAGAAGTGCCCCTCCCAAACGGACTCAATTGACAATATTCCATGGGAAAATGTAAATCGCCAAAGCTGAGACCAAACCTACGCCAATTAGAGACACACATGGTTCGTCCATATCAAACACATATGACTGCTTACGAAGAAAAAAGAAAAAGGAAAGGGACTGAAAAACACAGCAGATTTTTGCAGAATCAGTGAACAAAGCACTGATCTACAGCATGTTATGAAGTTGTTTCCTCATTAAAAACAGACCTGGAGTTGTGTTTAGTTTCATTCACACATATCTGAGTATAATATTTATTATTAGTCAGTACTAGGGATGGGCATGATTAGTTGATTAATCGATTATTGATCATTAAGAATTTCATCGATTACGTTCATTTTAATAGACAAACCGAATGTAGGTTGCTGTGCGTCCATGTCCGGGGACAAACGGGGGTCCGGACATGTAGCTCTCTGCACTCAGATGGAGCAAAACATAAACAGTCAGCCAGTCTACAACGTGCCGAAGCACAAATGCGTATTTAACGAGTTGGGACGAGTTTGAGTCCATGTGCACAGTGTACAAAGCAGCACATATGTTTCGGTGTCCAGTGGGAAAAAGTTCACCAGGACACCGAAAAACATGTAAAAGTTTTGCCAGGTGAGAGTCGCACAATGTCGATGACGAGTCCCCACCTCCCACCCCCCGTACGGTGTCCTGGTTTTGACAAACGCAAATATGGTCACACTAACCTGTATTCCACTGAGTCATGCCACATCAGTGACACAAGAGCTGTTTTTTTTTTTTTCTTTGCTTAGTTTATGCAAATTTGCAATGAGGTTTTAAGTTTCGTTTCTGTGAGAGTTGCACAAAGCTGCATTAAACACATTAAAATGTCAAACGGGCTGATGTGGCTCTAGAGTCGTTACGGTTTATATGTCGCAAAGTTGAATATATTTATGCAGATTAGTGCAGATAGTAATAATAATGATGATAATTTTAATATAAAAAACGTTCATGATTAATCGATAATTGTTTGTTAATTCTCCCGACGATCGATTAAGAAAATTTAATCGAATGCCCATCCCTAGTCAGTACATCTCCAAAGCTCAAAAACGTTCTGTTCCAACTTGTGATGTCATGAAGAGGCCGTTTTGAAGTGAACAGCCAACTTTTAATTTTTGTTCACTAGAGACCGGCAATTTCAGGGCTGAAACTTATCCAAATGATTCCACTGAAAGCGTATGGAGTTTAAAAACACAGTGGAGCACTTCCTGTATTACCACATCACAAAGTGGACCGGAGAGAGAAGAACTCAGCCCAAATATGCAGGATTTGTGTGTTAAAAATGTGAATGAAACAAAATACAACTCCAGGTATGTTTGGAATGAGGAAATATTATATCATAGACCTGGAAATAGCGTTATAAGGGCCTTTAAAAGAGAAATCTACAAAGGTCTGGGTCAGAATAAACCAGTTCAGTTCAAGTGCAACTTTTTGTACTCTCCCAAGTCCTGACAAAGAGTAGTACTTTCAAACTATTACACATTTATACCGCCAAAAAAACTCTATAAATAAAAAATATATGTAGTACATTATTTACAAACTACAACCCATTCAACAACCTCCACATGTCAAAAGTGTCAAATCAAATATTTCGTTACGTCCCACTCTCCCCGTGACCCTGAAGGCAGCGTGTGCATTCAGCGCTTTCTCACTTTCTAGTTGGTATCGAGTCGTCTCCTCTCAGCTCCTGTTCTACACCTGTAAGAAACATTACAAGCCTCACTCGCGGGGCAAGCTTTCTGACCTTTGCAGGTGTCAGAGCACACATCAAATCTCCCATAAGGCCGAGCGGCGGGGGCCAAACACAGCGTGATTGACAGAAGCAGTGTTAAGTATTGATCCATAGCTGCTCCATCACCAGGGCTGTTAGAGACTTGACAGAAAGAGAGGTGTCAAGGAGGTTTACTGGAACTGTGATTCTGTTATTGACAAAACTTAAAGGTCCCACATTCTGGTAATAGTGGTGTCATTCAGGTTAAGTGCTACAAGGTAATTTGGTGGGATTTCGTACGAGCTACTTCTGAGTGGAAAGAAATGAATAAGTACTTGGAACAGGTCAAAATCTTGAGCTACAACGTCAAAATCTGAGTCTCTTGAGAAGATGTAGATCTAAAAAATGTAAGTAAAAGTAAATTTAAAATGAAGAAAATGTGAGACCAAAATTCTAAACTCTATTTATTTATGATTGTGAATAATTTCAAAATTTCAAAATCTTGTGGAAATTGTCTCTTGTTCCACTCTTAATGAGAACTCATGCTATGAAATTAACCTGCAACTGGAACAGAACTGGAAATCAAACTGGCAAAGCGTATTTTTTGGACTATAACTCACACTTTTTTTTCATGGTTTCAGTGTTTCCTGTGATTTATACTCCAGTGCAACTTATAACTTATAACTTAATTTTCACACTGACAGGTGCGAGAAGCTCTAGTCTTGTGTGTCAGTATCTGCTGCTCCTGTTACTCATGTACCACTGTCATTTCACTCTACTGCACATGTCTCCTGCAGAAAGAGACACAGATTACAAGCTGCAAATAGAGAAATATGCAACTGAAAATGTTAATCGAGCAGCAGAAAGAAAATCTGGAGTGAGCGAGAAACTTGTGACACACGGGAGGATGCACCAGGCAACTTTCCTGGAAGTCATTGGACGGATCGACAAAGTCTGGACTTCAGTGACACCGAAACCATCCTGTCGGGATTCAGAAAGACTGGAATAATTCTAAATGGAACTGATGCCGAGTCTGACGACAGCTACACAGAAGAGAAAGAAGAAGCAGCTCTGTTTACCTCCAGAGGTTGTGGAGTTGCTCAGAAGTGACACAGAGGATGAAGAATTCAGTTAGTTTAGTGATTTGGAGTGAGATGGAGAGTTTGTTAAACTTGTTCTGTTCTGTTGTTTATGTTATAGTTTAATCTGAAGAACTGTTCATATGTGACATTAACAGTCTGTTGTTCTCTGTTCTATTGTTATTACTATAACTTGACTTTTAACATTAAATAATTAAAGTGTTCCTGGTCTCTGATTTTAAAAAAATAAATTTCCCCCAAAATGTGAGACTGATGGTCCGGTGTGACTTATATATTTTTTTCTTCTTGTTTAAACATTTTTTGGCTAGTGTGACTTATACTCCGGAGTGACTTATAGTCTGAAAAATACAGTATCTAGATATTATGATGTCTTATAATTCATAAATCCCATTAATCCCTCTACAACCCTGCTCTGAAATGTATGGGAATCTTCTATTTCATTCTGTACATTACATGGTGTTTGGTATTTTATTAATAATAAGCAAAATGTGTAACTTAGATGAAAAAAATAACAGATTTTGCGTTTACTTGTGTTTTAATTGACAAGGAGTTAATAAACCTGACGTCTTTTCTGATACAACTTTTTATACAGGCTTGGGACCAGCACTAAAAGTACAACTACTGAAGACATTTTTCTTAGAATAATTTGACAACACTGTTAGTGTGAACATAAAATCTCATGATGATACCCTATTTTTTGTGAGATGATCATAATAATTCACTGTTTATATGCTATGTTTAAACACTGGTTCTTTTTCCCTCTCCTCTTCTCCCACTGATCATACTCTGTCGTACTTTGAGTGACAGGCGAATTTGACCAATCACAGTAAAGCGTGAACTCCCAGAAGCAACAAAAAGCTGTAGTTACCACCTAAAACCACTTTATTTACATGAAATTGTGATTTAGCCTCTGGAAAACAGTGATTATTTTGGACCAACTCCCACCTCTTGCCACTACAATATTTTTTATTATTTTTTATCCCACTTGGGCCCTTTTACAATCCCATCTGTACCGTAATACGCCCTGGGACCACACGTTGAACACCTTCCAATGCCTTGAAAATCTGTGTCTCAAATAGATTTCATAAAGCCATCCGAGTGACTTATTTCACCTTGGCACCTTCCCTGACTCCATTATCACACCTCCACATCGCCGATAGCAACAGAGCACAAGTCTACAGGCCTGAATGTTTTTAGGGATGTTTTTGAGCTGAAATTAAGATGGATGATAAGACTGGAGGCGGTGAAGATTTATGGTTTCTGTCTACGCAGGTCCCTTGTCGCTAACCTGGCAGCCGCGAACTGCTACAAAAAAGAAAAACATCTGGACTTGGACGGCAACTGGGAGCTAGTGAAGAAAGCCAAAGTCTATTATATCGCGGTAAGTGAGATCCTGTATGCTTCAGAATGACTGTTCCTGGAGTCCATTGCCAGGAGAGGACAAAATGTTAAGAGGTTTTATTCTCAGGGAATTGCCTCTGTAAGCCTTCTGCATTGTTAATACATCTATTCACGGCACTGTGTAGGAAAATGAGCTGTTACAGAGACAATACCGGCTTTTGTGAGGGTTCTCAAGCGGCGGTACAAGGGGTTCTGCAAGTCCTGGGTTTGTTTGTTCATGGTTTGATTCAATAGTCGAGGGTAGATCCTAGATTTGAACTGATTTAAAGGTGCTGTATGTGATTTTTACTGTTTTAAAATGTGAAAAAAAGAGCTAGTAATTAAAAAAAGAAGTTACAGTGCCAGCTTTTGTACAAACGGTTCCGCAAGTCCAGATTTAATAGTCAAAAAAGTGTAGTACTGTTGCGGTCTAGATTTGGACTGATTTAAAGGTGCTGTATCTGGTTCATACTATCTTAAAATGTGAAAAACAGAACGTTAATTCAGAATATAGCTGTGTTACTGAGACCATACCGGCTTTTGTGAGGGTTCTCAAGCGGTGGTACAAGGGGTTCTGCAAGTCCTGGGTTTGTTTGTTCATAGTTTGATTCAATTGTCAAGTCAAGGTCCTGGGTTTGAACCGATTTAAAGGTGCTGTATGTGATTTTGACTGTCTTAAAATGTGAAAAACAGAGCTAGTAATTTTTTAAAAAGTGTTACAATACCAGTTTTTGTACAGTGGGTTCTGCAAGTCCTCATTTTGTTCAATTATAGTTTGATTTAACAATCAAAAAAGTGTAGTACTGTTTTGGATTGATTTAAAGATGCTCTACCTGGTTTTAACCATCTTAAAATGTGAACAACAGAATTAAGAATGTAGCTTTGTTACTGAGACAATACAGGCTTTTCTGAGAGTTCTCAAACTGTGGTACGACGGGTTCTGCAAGTCCTGGTTTTGTTTGTTCATAGTTTGATTCAATAGTCAAGAGCAGATTCTAGATTTGAACTGATTTAAAGGTGCTGTGCATGATTTTTACTGTCTTAAAATGTGAAAAACAGAGCTCATAATTTTAAAAAAGCGTTACAATACCAGTTTTTGTACAAAGGGTTCTGCAAGTCCTGGTTTGGTTTGATTTAATTGCCAAAAAAGTGTAGTACTGTTTTTGCGTAGATTTGGACTGATTTAAAGGTGCTCTACCTGATTTATACCGTCTAAAAATGTGAAAAACAGAGCGTTACTTAAGAATATAGCTGTGTTACATAGACCACACCAGCTTTTTTAAGGGTTCTCAAACTGTTGTACAAAGGGTTCTGCAAGTCCCGCTTGTGTTGTTTATAGGTTTGAACCGATTTAAAGGCGCTGTAGCTGATTTTTACTGTCTTGTGAATTGTGAAAAACAAATCTAGTTCATTTTAAACAGTTTGCGCTGGTCCGAAGTTATTCCTTACTTATTCCTAGTTACATTCCTGGCATCAAAATTATTCACTGCAATGGTTTATGAGTGTATTTTCATACTTTTCATAGAAGAGTTTGCTTTCACTGCACTTCCTGGATTCTGATGGATGAAAATACTATTATTAAATGCAGACAGTTCTAGTTGGGAACTTAATCAGATGTAATATTCATGGGTTTGCGTCACATGAACTTTTCCTGTTATTGACGACATGTTGTGGACTTTTCAAAATATTGCCAATGTTTTGCTGTTGCTATGGAAACTGTCCCAACTTTAAATGATTTGAGTCCCACTGATAGTCCTGTTTTAGGTCTTTAGTTTAGTTTAGTTTGAGTTCTGGTTTATCATAGAGTGCGTACACATGCACATCAGTATCTTGGTTATGATCATGTTTTTTGAGTATCCCAGTTTCGTCATGGTGCATGTTTACACAGTATCCCGGTTTCAGTATCCCAAATAAGGCAGTATCCCGGCTATGAGAAACCTGGATACTGTAGCTGATATATTGTACTGTGGCATGTGCGTGCAGTATCCTGGTTACTGCAACATAAAGTTGAGTGCACATGCGTCCAAAAGACAAACACTTTTCAGTCTTTTCACCACAAGGCAGCCAACATAAATAAATTGACCAACATAAATAAAGTGACCGTACATGAGTGAAATGACTCTTAAATAAAGAGCTGCTCTAAACCTGGTGCAAGCTGTTTTTATCAGTGCTTACAGTTTATGCAAATTACCGTATTTTCCAGACTATAAGGTGGGACTTTGTGGCGTTCACGGTGACTCTGGGCTTTGTTCGGTTGTGGCGTGTAGGGAGGGTGCTGTCTGGGACCGCGGGATTGTCGGCGTGTTCGCAGTGACTCGGTTGTTCAGTTGTGTCTAGAAGTGGCACATTGCACTCGCTTTTTCGGTTCGTTCCTGTGGGTTGTGGGTGTTTTTCGCTGTGTTGTCGCTGTCTGCTCCATGTGTGTTTGCGAGTTCTGCGGGTGGTGTGGCTTTATAGTTTACTAAAGTCGTGCTGGGACACAGTCGATTCGTGTATAGGGCGCTCTGGATTGTGGGGCGCGCGGTCGTTTTTTGATGCGGTTAGAGGCTTAAGAGCGCGTCTAATAGCCCGGAAAATACGGTAGCCATGTGGTTTTAAGTTTCCTTTCTGTAAAACGTAAAACAAATTATTTGATCAAACAGGCTGATGTGGGTCAATAGTGGTCATGGTTTATTTGATGTAAAGTTGAGTTTATTAATAATGTGCTGCAGTGTAGAACTTGGAAAATAATGTTTGGAAATGTTGGGTTTGATCTGTGCAGTGGATTGTGGGATACCTCATAGCTCCTTACCGCTGGTTAGGAACCTCCTGAGCTTCCTACGATAAAGGAGCTCATGATTGTTTGTATTTGTCCTGTCTTATTAAATATATAATTTTTGTGCTTGTGCATTTGTAAGATTGTGTCAAGAAACCAAGATTCTACATTTGATCATGTACACAGCAATCTGAGTGTCCTGGTTTCTCAGCGCGCATGTATACGCTGCAGTTTAATCCTGGTTTAGTCTTGGTTTAGTCCTAGTCTAGTCCTGATGTAGTCTTCTTGCTTTGTCATCTCTGTGAAATTGCTCCACCTTCTTTCAATACTTTAACACAGAAGACATGACAACAGGTGCAGTGTCTAAGTGTGAAAAATTGATTGCTCGACGTATAGAAACATTCACATTTTTCTAGACTTTAAGGTGACACAGCAGAGAGTGGCGTGGACAGATGCTGCAGTTACTTTTTCTGTTGGGGGTCAACCGAAGCTCATGTTACAGAGTTTGGGATTAAGTTTAATTCTTGTGGATTAAGGGTTTCTTCTCATCCTGAGTCCAAATGATAGCCCTGAAATTACACTGCATTCCAGCATCTTCGAGAAGTGGAAAAAGACACAACTAAAAAATATGTCCAACTTTAAAGCAGGGTAATCTTAGGTCAGTGGTTCTTCAGCCTGATTATACAGAACTAGTACAGAGCTCTAATCATGTTCACTTTTGCATATTTTAGTTTCTCTTTACCCTGATATTCTTTAGTTTATCTTTTCTTTGATGTTGTTTGCAATTTTGTTAAAGGTGCACTATGTAATTTTTCTGGTGGAGCATCCGTCACCTACTATTTTGTCTAAAATGTGACACAGTGTGGCTTTAAACCTGTGCAGACCAGCAGATTTCATCTCATCAGAGGTGGGACCAAGTTGTCGCTTTGCAAATCTCAAGTAAGTCTGAAGTCTTTGACCTCAAGTCCGAGTTGAGTCCCAAGTCAAATACAGGCAAGTCCAAGTCGAGTCTCGGGTCACTGGTCCATAAGTCCAAGTCAAGTCCGAGTCGTCTGCTTTGAGCTTCAAGTCATTTGAAGTCTTTAAACCAAAGTACCAAATATAGCTTAGATTTTTGCTATTTATATGAATTTAAACTTAATGGTCCTTAAAAAGTCATAGTATATTTATTTATGAGTATTTATAGAGTATGTAAGAGTTGTAGAAATGCTAATTTTTCTTGACAGGGTCTTAGAGCAGTGGTGTCCAAAGCTTTTTCATCAAGGGACACATATCTAAACACAGATGAAGCAGAGGGCTGATTGAGGGCTGCAGACTGGAGCTCAATACAGTGAATAATTGAAATATGTGCATGTTTAACACGTTAGAATGAGCCATCAGTCTTTATTCATGCTAAGATCCTTAAAACCACACAATAAATATTAAATATTAGCTTTATCAAGGCAGATTTTCAATAAACGTGCAGTAAAAAGTACATCTTTAAGTGATGCAAGGTAATTTGGGCCAATTCACCTGGAAGCCTGAGGGCCGAGAAAAATTTGTCTGAGGGCCGCATTTGGCCCACGGGCCACAGACACATGCCCGTCTTAGAGTGAATCATTACGGTCAGAATAGAAAGAATTCAGATTTAAAAGTGCTTCTCAAGTCACAGACCTCAAGTCCAAGTTGATTCCCAAGTCTTAGTCAATTTTATCAAGTCAAGTCTCAAGTCCTAAAAATAGTGACTCATGTCTGACTCAAGTCAAAGTTACAACTTGCAAGTCTCCACGTCTATCTCATTGATATATATAGTTTATTTTTGTATTTTCCTGAAAACATTGAAAAAATGACTTAGCCAGTTTTACTATGAGGCTGACACTTTCTTACATTATGACATTAATTTGATATTTAGATGTTTCTTAAAGTTAACATTTTTTTTCTTCTGTTTGAGCTGAGTTTGGGCCAAATTATAAGAAATGTCAAACTTGCAGAGCTAATATAATGGTTATAGTAATTTCTGTGGACAGTTTGGTTGCGTTTTATGAATGAATGAGTGTGGAAAAACATCAGGAATTGAAATAAGACTCAAGATTCTATAAATATTAAGCTTTAACATTTGACAGAACTAAATAGCCTATTAGTATCTTAATGCATATTAGACAGCTGCTCATAATGCTTTTTCTTCTTCTTCTTCTCACTCCAAATTCCCCATCTCCTCAGTATTTAACTCCAGTCTGTCCTTTTAAAACATTTATAGTGCGAGATGG